CCCCAAAACCCCAAAACCCCAAAACCCCAAAACCCCAATAAGTATAATTATCGTTGGATAATATTAATATGATAACTTGAACACACTTAACATGTAATTCTAGTATCTAACTGATTAGGACAAGAGCAAAACATAATACACCATTCTTCTATCGAGCATCAGGATCCAGCACATTACTATTGCTACGTATTTTATTCAGTACCAATATTATTATTTTTAAATCTCTTCTTTACCCTCAAATAAGTGAATGATATTAATCATCCTATTTCCTCCCGAAGCTCCTCCTCTAAATCTACAATTTTAGGCTTTAAGGTATTCATGTTAATGTACACTGCTTTTAAGAATTATCTTTCTTCTTCTGTTTCATGTAGTTTGATTTCTTTAGTAGCGATAACCACCTCAAATTTTATTTAATCTCAACTCCTTTTCCCACCAAAGCTAGCTCTTCTAACTGCTCTCATCTGTGGTGTGATGTCACTCGAGAGACTCTCACGAGTTTCTGGAAGTTTTCCTTAAGTTTCCAGCTTTTATATTCAGGCCTTTCTAATTATACCAGTTTTTTACAGTCAATTTGATAATATCATCAAGTGCTTGCATCTAGCTATATTTTATCATATTCTGTGGTGTCTATTTCAGATTTTTTTAGAGAATTTATAGTCAAAGTTGTATCATTTTGTACTTACAAAATAGATTTTAGATTGCTGTAAGCTCCACTTTGATATCTCCTCCTCTATCCTGATCCTATCAGCACCTATTCATGCTCAAAGTCTTTTCTCTGCTGAATGTGAGGGCAACTCGTTTAGGATATTAAAAGTCTGTCTTACATCATTAGTATTTTATTCACGACATCAAGATTATCTTTAAGCTTTGCTATTATCTCTAAGGTTATTCCCAAAAAGGCATGGTACACCAATTCCGTTGCTGTAAAACATTAATTTTGCTTAAAGAAATATATGTAATTTCTATAGCTATTAGTTTCCCTAGTAGCTTAAACTTGTATAATGCCTCATAAACTTCTTTCTAGTGCTACAAAAGAGAGGACTCAATGGTACATGAATATACTCCTGCATTGCCAACTCAATGGCCTTTCTTGAGTCTATGAGATAGTTCAATAGCTTTTTCTAGTTCACTTGATTGATCTCTTTCATATCTCATGTCCAGTTTTTCCTTTCTTACTCCTGGAAGCTAACTCATACTCTTGAATGCTTCAAACTAATAGAATATGAATATACACTAGCACAGCCTTGGGTGACTTCTTAGCTTGCTTAGCTGCACTTATCAGAGCTAATGCGCAGTGCATTCATTAAAAGCTAAAGTATTAGGATTTGAATATTGCATATTTTTATTTATAAAACAGAAACAAACTATCTGAATAAGTTAGGGGTTTTGGGGTTTTGGGGTTTTGGGG